GACACTGCCCCGTACGCCTCGGCCAGGGAGAAGCTGCCTCCACCGCGACCGCAGACCCTGCTGCAGGGAGCACTCCCACCAGCATGCAGGTGAGTGCTTCGGCTCCTTGCTCAGCCCCAGCGCGGAGGCTGGCACGAGGCTGACTCCTCCGGGACAGCAGGGATCGGGGCTTTCCCTTTGGCTTCTTACCTTGCGAGCTTTCACAAGGCATTGTCAGGCCGAGGACCAAAGGCTCCCTGTTAACCTTGCGGGTCCTCATTAGCATCTCAGGCCTTCAGTAACAGGTTAAAAACAGTCAGAAAATATTCATAGTGAGTTATTCCTCAGTATTTCCATCCATGGATGCACGGAAACAAGCCTTCTAAACTACAGCATGGTAACATCCTTGGGATCTTACTGTGCCACAAGAAGTAGGGTTGCTCAGGTTTCTAGGAGGAAAAGAGCCTTACACTAATAATACAGAGACCATGGTCCGAAAGGTGTGACTGTTTTGCTTGAATATATCATAAAATGAAGAAAAGCCTTTCTGCTCTCGTAGCAAGAGAATTCAGTGTCCATGTCTTCTCTCCCCCAGCTGACACTCTGCAGGCTCCGGACTCACCAGTGGTGCTTCATTCTCTTTAACATCTTGCTTTTCCACGTGCTGCTTTTTGGAGCAGATTTACTGGAGGAATACTTCCTGCGGTCGCTACCTCTTTCTTACACCGACGCAAAGACTCTCAAAATCAGGGAGAGGGCCAGGAAGCTAGATACGGATCCCCTAAAGGCCAATCTCTCTTACACCGTCAGCAGCGCAGCAACATGCTCCGAGCAAGAGATATTTTTGCTCATTCTTGTCTGCAGTAGCCCAGAAAACAGGACAAGGCGCAACGTGATCAGGCAGACGTGGGGCAACGTGACAGACGCCAGCGGTTATGCTGTCCTTACTCTGTTTGCTTTAGGAAAGCCAGCTTCAGCAACCACCCAGCTGGAGGTCCACGAAGAGTCTCGAAAGCACAGAGACATTATCGAAGGCAGTTTCATCGATTCTCCCAAGACGCAGACACAGAAGATGTTGATGAGCGTGGAGTGGACAGTGGCCTTCTGTCCCCATGCAAGGTATATTCTTAAAACAGATGAAGACATGTTTGTCGGTATCCCAAGCCTGGCTGGATACTTGCTTAGCTTAACACAGCTTGAGGACGTTTACATTGGGAGGGTTGTTCATCAAGGAGCGCCCAACAGAGACCCCACAAGCCCTGCCTTTGTTCCCATCCGCCAATACTCAGAAGCGTTTTACCCGGATTACTGCGACGGGAGTGCTTTCGTCATGTCCCAGGACGTCGCTCGCAAGGTGTACGTGGCTGCCAAGGAGGTGCCAGTCTCAGTGCCCCCCGACGCCTTTGTTGGAATCTGTGCTAAAAAAGCTGGCATCACTCCCATGCACAGCTCTCGATTTTCTGGGGGAAAGCACATCAGCTACAATCGATGCTGCTATAAATTCATTTTCACCTCTTCCAACATGCGAGAGGACGAGTTATTTAAAGACTGGAAGGAAACGAGCGATGGGAAAGGTTGCTCATTACTGGAAACTTACTACAGTCTGGTGTCCTGCAAGGTTTTGACCTACATTGATAAGTTCAAACGGTTTAACTTGGATGGGATTAAAAGTGAGGTTCTTCATTTCGCCGATTAAGATTTAACTTCTGCGAAGAACGTCTGAATTTTCTTTTACCAGCTGTTTTTTATCTTGTTAACATTCAGTAACAGTAATCTGAGTTAGCTCCCTTCCCTTCAACAGCAAATGACTTCTCAAATGCTATAGTGCGGCACAGCAGCAAGAGAAACAGAGGTACTCGAGCTACGTAAGTACTTACAAGAGCACGCATACAAGTAAAAAAAAGTTTTCCAAGAAACTTTGTCTGTATCCCATTTTCCAGACCTCTGAAGTCCTCTACCTTATGCACTTTCCATCTCTGAGGCATCACCTACTTCCAAATTATTTTGTAACAAAGGGGAATCTTTCCATCCACAGACGGACCAGCGCCGAGCAGTCACAACTACCGCTCGGCGGTCTGTCCTACAGCACCAGTGAAACCACGGAACAGCTCAGAGCGGGGACATTGAGCCACCGTGGCAAGCGCCACAGCCCGGGTAGATTCTAGGCAAGAAATCTGACTCACCTGTTAAACAATCCTGTATTTCTGTCGGTCGTGGCGTCAGAGAGGCGCTGACACAAGTAGCTCAGTGCCACAACGTTACGCTGGAGAGGGGCATCAGCGCCGAAGTCAGCACAAATCCACCAGCAGGCGGGTGACACCAACCTTACCCAAAACGGGAACACTCCAGGAATCAGGGACCAGTCACCAAACACAACCCCCCCCCCGTGCCTACGTCCTCCAGGTAACTCCGCCACATCGGCTCTTTCAGCGCCGACAGAGCAGCTGGACAGATTTGTTCTGCAGTGTGACGGACACAGGGGAAGACACACACACACCCCCCACCCTCGAGGGCCCCCGTCTACTCTTCCCGCTGTGACTGAAGGAGTTGGAACGTGCTCTGAAGGATCCACAATTCTTAAGTACCAAGTTATGCTGCTTGTTAGCCCGGGCCAAATGATAAGCTTTGGTTTTGATGGGGTGAGGGGTTGTTGTTGGGTTTTGAGGGGGTTTTTTGTTTTGTTGTTTTTTTGTTTTGGTTTGTGGGTTTGATTTTTTTTTTTTTTTTTTTGTGGGGTTGGTGGGGTTTTTGGGTTTCCTCCTTGGTTTTGTTTTTAAACCACGTTCATCAAGTTCAGCATGTTACCTCAATTCTCATTCTCCATCACTCCATTTCTATTTCCTCCTCAGTTACCTCCACCTGTTACTTTATGGGGGCAGGACAGCGACAACACGCTTAAATTTTTCCACTGTATATAAGACACAGCAGCAGCAACATGTAAACCGTACAGCAATACACAGGATGGGGAGGGAAAGACATGTGAATAATAAGGGGTAAGAATCCGACCAATTAAGCAGAATGTTGAGCTCAAAGCTCAACAAAATAAAGCATATGTGCATATATAAAGAGAAATCCCCTTGTTTGGCGTCTCTGCGGCTTCTAAAATATTGTATTTGACAGATGTACCATGCAAAGCAGATGCTAAAGACTGAGCACAGAGTGGCCTTCAACAGCAACAGCTGAAAACACGCGTAGAAGAGACTCACGAATTGCAGAGAAGGTTTATATATTGATTTCTTTTACTGAGATTTTGGTATACGGCTCACACAGAGCTCCCAGCGCACAACGGCACCTCAAATAACAAAGCTGAACTGCCCAACCCAAGCGCAAACTAAGGACTTCTACACTCTTTTTCGTTTCCTTTTTAGTGCTTTCATGTTTTTTTTTCTGGATGCAGGATTCACGAAGCTTCTCTGCTCTCACCGTTCACAAACGAGACACCGTGTACCGCACCTCTCACGATCGGATGTTTATTACACGGAACTCGGGTGAAAGCGTCAGCGACAGCGTAACGTTGGATGACAACTTTTGTACACGGCAGGTCATCAGGAACGAGGCAGATCCCCTGCATCCCGACAGCTTATGAAACACGAAGGGATCTTCCCCAGCTACCCGGCTCCTCTGAGCCCGCTTCGCCTCCCTGCCAGCAATTTCTGGCAGGCGATACCATCACCTCTGCTGCGGCTCAGAGCTGCTACGAACAAGACGACAGTTGTGGCAGGGCTAGATCATCCTGCTTCACCTGGCAGAGTGGGGACACAGGGCGAGTACGTTCCATAGCTGTATACCTGACACGCTACGAAAATAAGCCCAAAAGTAGCAATTTTGTGTTTTATTATGCTCCCCCCAGCTATTCCTCAGATTTGTTTCTTACATAGTCAACTAAAATAATATAAACCCTATATAAAGTACATCGTGGTCTCTGTTTATGGAGAAAGACACACCACACGTGGCCAGAGTATCCAGCTAGTCCTGCACCGCATCCGCAGCCGGCTGGCCATCTTCAGAGGACGAGACACAGCTCCAAAAGGTACATTTCCATCCTCCCCATTCAGCTCATGCCCTTCAACATGACAGCTTTATGTTCTTACCCCTTGTATTCTAACTCAGGCAACTAAAATCATACTTTTTTTTTAAATAACACTTAAAAAAATTTTATCTCCGATAAAAAAATAGTGTAAACGATTTAAGGTTTGGTTCTGAAGTAGACTTGTAGTGCTAAAGCTCATGCCCCTTTGGAGCAAGTCAACTGAGCTGCCATACAAAGTCACAGTCAACAAGGGAGACGAAGCTCCCAATTTGGTTTTACGCACAACAGCGTGCATTCATTTGTTTTTAAAAGGGCTAAAGGCTTTTTTTTTTTTCCTCCATCCTCAGCATAAAATGTAAACAATATTTAGGATTATTTATTCAAGCAAGACTCACATCCAGCAAGTTGAAAAAATAAGAGAATCCAGTTTGTGCTCCCTCAGGTGGACAGAATATTACTAGCTTATTCTTACCAACAGGGTTTCTGACAGACTATAACTGGCTAAAAGAGTGTGTTCCATGCAAGTGCCAACTTTGGCGGATATTAAAAAAAAAAATAGAGAGAAAAACTATGGCAGCATCTGAGGTTACAAACCTCGAAGTGTTTTGGTGTTTGGGTTTTTTTTTTTTAATTCAACTGTGATCTACTGAGAAAACGCGACAGGAACTCCAAACCCATGACCAGTTTAGCTAAACACTGAGAATTTCTGCAAAATCAGACGCAGTCAGCAGCTGACAGAGCGCTTACCTTGGTTACTTGTCTCACGACAGTGCAGAGAACTTCTGCCATGACAATCTATGGGAAAATATGCTGTGCCCTCTAGGTTTTGATTCGCTCTCTTGACTCTCATTTCCAACAGAATCAAAGTGCTTCACATTCCTTTAAAGAGACAATCTAAAGAGACTCCAGTGTGGGGAGTCTTTACACCTATATCTTAACAGCTATTTCAGAAACACGGTTTGCAGGAAGGGGAACCAAGACACCAGTGACATTACTCTGCTCCCTCCACGGCTGTAGTAGAAACTGCCTTAACATAATAAGGGCCTTCACGCAAGTAAGCCCTAAGCCTCAGGTAATACTGATTCCCAAAGATCTCCGCGATCGTTTTAGAGTTCACGAGGGCCTTCACCAGTTCGTATTTGGCATCCTTCGAGGCTTTGTCCGGCTCCACGGATCTGTCTACAATGTACTCCACAAACCCCGGACTGTCAAGCATCAACTTCTGGGCCCACGGTTGATTTGCAATAGCCTAAACATGAAGACAAAAGAGGGGGGAGGGGGAAACACCTCACTGTAAAAACCCAAAAGCCAGTTACGCAGTCGGCTGTTACGCAAACAGCCAAGGAAGAGGGAAAAAGAAGTGGGATATCCGTTCTACGCCACAGTTACACAACCACCACCCAAATCGAGCAGCGGGGTTTAACACTGGAAAACAAGTACAGCTCAGTGCTTATCTTTAAAGTTTTAAGTGAATTATCACAGCAGTTCCTCCGATATCAAGGTAGCACCCTAGAGCACAGCTGCTGCTTTGGTGTTTTCCTCTCGAATTTATAAAGAAAATAAGCATTACAGACATGACACGTCTGCTGTACTATTTACACGGCGAATGCGAGCGGGGCACAATGAAAAAGGCCTTATTTCTGACCCCTTCGGGGCTTCAACAAGAAGTTTGTGGCATTTATTGAAAAGAAAAATAATCTGAGACCGAACGGCAATACAATCCACTAGCTGATCTTTAAAAGGAAAAAGCACTTACAGTGAACACCCGCAAAGCCCCGCAGTGGAGATCAGGGAAGGGCTGAGTGCTGATGCTCCTGAAGAGTTCCAACGGCTGGCTCGACAGGGCTGTGAACCACGATTCAGTCATCCTTAAAAGGTCTTCTGTCTGCTGCTCTGGCTACAGGCATCACACACGAAAATGAGAGCGCTGGGTCAGGCTTATGAAAAGCTTTCACGTTTTGAGTATATGTGCAATAGTTATTTAAAACAAACCACCAGCAGATTAAACTGAAATAGTTTAAATTCTCAACTTATTTTCATGAATGACGAAATATTGCATTTAGCTTGGAGACAGACTTAAATAAATCAACTTTGATACACGAGAAGTGCTGTGCTGGAGAGCAGTCCTGCAAGACAAATGAAGATGGCTTACCTGCTCATTTAGAGCTACACTACTGAAACCCGATCACTGGATCTAAAGAACATACACGTGGATTAGAGCAGCGCATCACAGCCACTACCCCTTTAAAGCACAAGAGCATTAAACTGCTTACTCTCATTCCTTTGCCAAAGCCATCTGGACTTTATGTTTTATAAACAGAGTTTAGAACACCTGGCTTCTTACAAACAAATAAATCAGGGAATTTCAAAACAGCAAAGTTAATGACTTGGAACGCTAGAAAGCTGCCACTTCTACCTAAACTAGGTGCTGCAAAAGGTCTGCACCCAATTAGTTAGATGCACAATAATTCTTTTTTTTTTTAAATCTACAAGAATGAAAAAGATGACAAACCAAACCACAAACTTACGGGCAAGTAAAGAAGAGATGAAATGGCATCCAAGCATCGAAGCCGTAACTCCGTGGGGGCATTCTTTGCCTGGTGCCCTATTCTGTTTAACAGATTTTGAAATCTACTTCCTTTGAAAACAAAAACAAAGTGCTTTCAATTAACCCAGACAGACCTCTGCAGGCGTACAAAGTCACCTGTCTGTCCCATTATACTGCAGGAAGAGTGTTGTACCTTAAACCTGAGAAAGGCAACTTCTTGATCTACTCTAACAAAAGCAGTTTAAGATTCTCTTTGCTTCATAGTGATCCAAGATAGACAAATCCAAAGCCTTTATGTTAATTCCCCAGACTACCCAAACACTTCCAAAGAGGCAGCTGTGTCACAGATGAGTGAGTTATCTTGGGAAGCGTGGACCCTAGTACGCCCCAACGGCTATCTGCTAATACAGATTTTCACTTAAAACCCCAGAGTTTGGACTAGCAGCAAGAAGTCTAGCACCTGCTTTCAATCCTCTGAACAGTTTTGTATTAGCAGAAACAAGGCAGTCTTTACAGAAAGCCTCATCACAAGGAAGTTCCTGTTTTTCTAACCCTGGTGAGAAGGCCATGCCATCAGTAGAAACTGAGGGACCTAAAATAACACAACAACTGACAGTTTGTACTATGCAGCTCACCAGAAGAGAATAATTTGAATCATGCTCGTGACACCAGAATTCTAGCTGCCAGGCATTTCATGCTGCCATGCCTGGCAAGACAGTCAAACCCCACCTTATCTGCTATTCAGACACCCTTGATTACTACATACATAAATACATCTTTCAAATCCTTTCTCTACTAGACCAAACCAATTCACTCTTGTACAAATACGACATACTGAGAAAGCTTTATAAAAAAAAAAAAGAAATACTAACTGGTTTTCTGTAAAACCTGTTTGCCTTCCACATTGGAACCCAGGATTCCTAGCGTGTCCACAGCCACTCCAATCATCGTCGGATCATGACTTTCTGCCATTTCAAAGACTTTTTCCATAAAGACAGGGTATCGTTCACAGATCTGCTGTGGACTGTCTACAACAGCCAGATTTCCAAAAAATTTAACAAATCCTGAGAGAACAAGACAAAAAAAAGCATTCAGAGTAGAGAAACAGTAACTTTAGCAATGTCAAACGTACGTCAACATAAGATTGTTTCGCTGCTAAACTGCTGTTAAGTCTGAACACTGAAAGACATCAAAACAAGGACAGAACTAAGGAACAAGTCAGTGTTTGATAAGTTACTTAATTCACGATGTAACAGCTGCCTTTTGAACTCATAAAAAAATAATCAAGGCTCCAATAACACAAACTTCAAATGTACAGTACAGTCTCTCCAGATCTCACCTGTACTACCACTCAGCATGTTTTGTACACATCCAACATACACATTCTAATATTAAAAAATTCACCTAAGCTTTCAAAACAGAGGCTTAATAGTCCTCTCAATTTAACTCATGAATAGAAGCAAGCAGTAACACTGGAAACAAGAAATGCACAATGTGACCTGGTAAATAGAAGCCTGAGAAAGGATCGGACTCTGCACCAACAATGATGTTCGAAATTTTATCGATAACTCCTTGTTGAGCAAGATACTGACGCCCATGTGGGGTATGGGCCAGCGAGGTCACCATCTCTATACATGTAGCTCTGCAACAGACAAACAGTTATTTTGGCATATTTCAGACGGGATTCTGAAGCACTCAGTGATGAGGAAAAAACAGGCTTTCTACCCTTAAAACAAAATCCAAGCAAGCAACCAAAAAAACAAACGACCCCCAACGTCCAACACTCCCCCACGCTCACTCAGCTACCTCACTTCAGGTTGGAAAGAATGCTGAAGTGTTTGTATCACGGCCCAGCATCACAATTACCACAGCATACTGGGGAAATTCTGGTTTGGTTCTCAATTTTAAGTACACAGTAATTCACACTCAAGGCTGTTTAAGAAGAGGCAGATAGAAGTGTTTTCCTGAAAAGGCTTTCAGGAGAAACACACACAAACGTGTTTAAAGAGTGTTGTTTTAAGACTAAACATCAAAGTTTTTGGGGAAATCTCATTGGCAAACTCACTACCAACATACCTGACCAGCACATCATCTCCAGTCAGCTCTCCAATTAACTCCGATATTAATCCACTGTTTGCACAGTAATTTAGCGAATCTGCTGACACCGAAGAAATCTCAACAATTAACTAAAAAGCACAGGGGGGGGAAAAAAAGGACGATTTATGAAAACATTATAATGATAACTATTCACAGGAACAGCCAAATAATGCTGACTAACCCTCTATATAGTAAATACAGAATTTCATGACGTTTTCGTAGTTACTTAATAACATTAATAGTTAACCTAAGTGTTAACAGTTAGATAGTTAACCTAAACGTTTGCCTGAAACAAGTTCATAAGGAGTTCAGAGTTTACAGCACATGCATTTGATTTCTATTCAGCCATCCTTCCTTCAGAGGATTGCCACTGCTATCCCCATTAAGCGCCAGAACGGCTAAGTTGTATTATTTCTCCTTTGCCATATATATCTAGTGACACACGTGGCATCTCCCAGTCTGTTCCCCTCCCCAGAAGTTTCAATAGCACTTCACACCAAAGGTTACAAGACTACAGCAGCTGTTTCACTTTCACTTTCAGAGAAGCAAGCACTTTATGGTATCTTTAGTAACCCTGTGTAGCCCGTCCAATGCCCTGGGCACCACCAGTTCAAACATACAAGATGTAAACAGCACTGCACGCTTTTGTACCATGAGAAGTCCTGACATTATCTGAGGGCCAACACTGCTGTACTCTTCCTACTCCTTTCTAGTCTTGATCAAATGTAGACAGGAAGAAAACTTTGTAAAGCAGTGAAGAACAGTACATAAAAGCAAGCCATGAACGCCAGACTGTAATTCAGAACCACAGTCCAAGAGAACTGCAGTATCATCTCATTCAAACGCTAACATTGATCACATCCCTACCTCATACACTCTGTATCGAACAATATCACTGGTTGCCATGACATTCTTCAAGTCACTCAACAAACTGCTCACAAATAAAGCCTCTAAGCCATCTTGCGTCTGGGCTATTCTTGAGAGAGATTTGATGGCCTGGAAGCAAAAACAGGAGGTTATTGTTAAACAGAAACAAACAAAACCGCAAAGAGAAGAAAATCCAAGACAACCAGACCCAGTTTCAATGTTCTCCACTAACATATTAAGCCAAGTTACACACTAAAGTTGGAATTGTGATTCACTTTTCACTGACGAGCACTAGTTACGGTTACTGTGGTCCAAGTCTCTGGCATCACATTCAGATCTACGAGTTCACTTTGCAACACCTACTGGAAGATAACAGTTCTGGGTAAATGTTCTACCACATCTAAGTAACACCTGGGCCTGGGGCACCTACAGGCTTCTAACACGTTTCAAGCAAGATAAGCGCTCTTTTTTTCCACAGAGGAGCAGAGGCCGTCACCTCAGACACAGCAGAAAAGGCGTTTCGTGCAGTGTCTATGGCAGTTTGTAGAGGAAGAAAAAAAGAAAGTAACACTTGCCTCTTTGGCCACGGCTATTTTCTCTCCACCAATGCAATTTATTATTTGCCGCAACAGTTCAGGGCTGTTGAGAATTTCTGTAACAGCATCTGAATTTTCAACAATCCTCCCAACCTAAAGACATGATTAAATAATTATGGAAAAAAATATTAAAAGAAACTTTTTCCACTCTAAGGACATTCAAGTACTGGAACAGCTACCCAGACTGACAGAATCACCACTTTTGGAGATACTCAAAACTCCACTGGACAATACCCTGAGCAAGCTGCCCCGCTTTTAGCTGGGGGCTGGACCTGAAACCTCCAGAACTCCATTCCAAACTACACTGCTCCACAATTCTGTGCTTTTATATTAATGCAACAAGTGTCAAGTTACTACAGCCTGCTCCCCTTCAGTGTTTCCACAATATTGTTCAAAGTATCCTGGATATCAAAACGTTGCTGCACTTTATTCTCATGGCACTTGCTGTCAGTGCTGGCTTAGAAAGCTTTAGGCAGAACATGTGACAGAAGATTCACTTACAAGTTACTCCTGTCAAGTTTACAGACACGTTATGTTTAACAGACACATATAAAGCATTATATACCAACACATTGCACAGTATCCATCCAAAATTGCACGAGCATCTAAGAGCACAATTCCTGCAGATAACACTTGATGCTGTGCTTTTGTCACAAATTAGGACACGAAACAACAATAACAGAGCAGGGCTAACCCAGCCCGGCTCAGACAGAGCTCTGTTCCCTCCTCCTGGAGGAAAACCCCGTACCTGAGATATGGTGAGGATCTTCACGGAGTCGTCAGGGTGGAAAAGCCCTTTCTGAAGCTCTTCTCTGAGGTTCTGGATCACATACACCGGGTCCAGGGCCTGCAGCAGCCTCTCCAGGATGGAAACACACGCAGACACCTGCTCCCTGGGCGGGACGGAGAGAAAAACAAACCTTTCAGGAAGGGGACGCCGCCGAGTGCTCCCAGACCCTCAGCTGGGCCAGTCCCCGCCCTGCAGGAGGGCAGGGAAGGAGA